GCAAAGACCAATAAAATAAGACAAAGCTTTGGTGAGTTTAATCAACAAGAAAGAGGGAGAAGACAGTGTAACAGGTGATGCAGATAGTTTCACAGAAGATTTGTGAAGAGAATGCTACGCATAATTTTATTATAGGTTTGAAAACCTGCACGTTTTAGACGCTTTGCTAGGAAATGGAAATAAACAAAAGTGGGTCAAGGTGGAGATTCCTGATAAGATATTTTACAAAATTTATTTAAAGATCTACTGGTAAAACTACACTGAGCCCAGTTTCTTTTATTAATGAGTGCTACCAGATCTCCCAGAAACAGACATTAGATTCACCATGAACATTTGGGGAGTAAAATGGATGGAGAAAGCCATCGTGAAATTGGTACTAAAGTCAGGTGAGGCTGTCACTCACAGGTAGATAACATTTAAGAACGTTGATGCAACTATTCTAAAACAAATTATGAACAGAACCCAGGAGTATTTTAAAAGAGTAACGTAAATCTCTTCAAATGCCACCTTCTTAAGGGCAGATGCCTTACTTGCCTGGTTTAAAACCGCAGCCTCTCCCTGCAGGGCTTCCCAGCCACTGGGTCCTGCTGTTTCCTCCTGTAGCACATGCCACCCACCTTCGGGCACAGCCTAACTTCTTCATTATGTTGATTGGCTTCCCCCGTGATACCAGGTAAACGTGGGCAGCACAGGGCTTAATGTTTTTTGGGTTTGTTGTTGGTTGTTCACTGATGTAAGTCAAGTACCTACGACAGTTGGCAGTTAGTAGATACAGGGGGAGGCAAACATAGGTTTATAGTTGTTCATCTGGAAAATGATACAATAACGACTAAATAATACAAGAATAAATTCTGGTTCGTGTTCTTATGACTAGACTCACTTTTGCCCCACCCTGAATGTATTGCAAAAAATGAATGAATTCTAAATGCAACATGGGCTCCTGGATTGGATCCTGGAACAGAAAAGGACACTAGCGGGGAAGGTGACATTGCGGGGAGTCTGTGGTGTAGTTGTTAGCATTGTACCCGTGTTAATTCCTCAGCTTTGGTGATCATGCCTTGGCTAGGTAAGATGTTAATGTTAGGGGAAGCTGGGTGAAGGTTTATGGAAACTCTCTATGACAGTTTGCAACTCCTGTAAATACAAGATTATTGCAAAATAATTTTTTTTACTTTCTTTTTTTTCTTTATTTCTTTTAGAGAGGAAGGGAGAGGGAGAGAGAGATAGAAACGTTGATGAGAGTTCGATTGGCCGACTCCTGCATGCCCCCACTGGGGATTTTGCCCACAACCTGGGCATGTGGCCTGACCAGGAACTGAATCAGTGACCTTTTGGTGCATGGGTCGACGTTCAACCACTGAGCCACACCGGCTGGGTACAAAATAATTTTATAAAAAATAAATCAGTTCCCAAAATTCTAAGGTGCTTTGGCATTTAGAAAGTAAAATAAAATTTTTGTTCAAATGGCACCTTCTCAAGAGTCCCGCCCTGACCACACATGGGGTTATGTTCAGCCTCCCTGCAAATTCTCAGTCCCTCCCACTCGGCTCTCTTTGGCCTTAGCACTTGCCACCTTTTAACACACTGTTTTTTACGTCTTTATTACGCCTGTTGTTTGTTGTCTGTTTCCAAGAGGGCAGGGGACCTTCTTTTGTTCACCAATGTATCTCAAGCCTGGTCCATAATAGCAGTTCGTTAATTGTTTGTTGAGTGAATTAATAAATAATGATATAATTTATGTTTGAAAATCAGAGTGAGGGCCTCCTTTCTATCTCCTTTGCAGCGGGCTTGCCTCATCCTAATCCCAGCGTTTAGAGACTTTCTCTTTATTTTTGTTATTTGAAATTTCATAGTTTCAATTATAATCTGTGTTAGTTGTGGAATTTTTTAAAAATTCAGAGGGATGAAAAAGGAAACAAAAGTAAACCAAGTTATTTTTGAGATCCCTTAAAAATGATAAAGAAAAAATTTTTTGTCTTTAAAATGAGGAATGGAGCGTGAAGAATGATTGATTTTTGTTGTTCTCTTTGGGACCACAGTTGCTCCCTGCTCTGTGATACGCGTTGGGGGGAAGCAAAACTTACCCGGTTGGTCCCGATATAGTTTGTTCACTGAAACAGCGATGCAGCGAGTCCTGCCGCCGTGAGCGTCGGTGTGCGAGGCCGGCGTAGGGCAGGTTCAGCACCCGTGTACTCTTAGAACTGCAGAGATGCTCTTTCAGTAGGTTTCCTTGATGATCTTTTTTCTTTTTTTTTTTCAAATCTTTATTGTTAAATGTAGAACGTATTACAGATGTTCCACATTTTTCCCCCATTGACCCCCTCCTCTCCACTCCCGCCCCCCTCCCGCCTTTTCCCACACTGTTGTCTGTGTCCATTGGTTACGCATATAAGTTCTTTGGTTTATTTCTTCCCACCCCCCCAACCCCTTTCCCTTTGAGGTTTGTCAGTCTAGCAATGAATTTGTACTTCTTTTTTTTTTTTTTTTTTAATCATCCTCACTCGAGGACATTTTTCCATTCTTTGTTCAGATAGAGTGGGAGGGAGAGAGAGGAACAGAGAGAGAGAGAAACATCGATGTGAAAGGGACACATCGAGTGGCCGCCACCCGCACAACCAACCAGGGCCGGGGACAAACTGCAACCAAGGTACATGCCCTTAGCGGGAACCGAACCCGGGTCTCTCTGGACCGCAGGCCGATGCTCTAACCGCTGAGCCAAACCGGCCAGGGCGAATTTGTACTTCTTAATTCCTTCATCTTTTTCACCCATCCCCCAACCCCCCTCCCATCTGGCAACCAACAAAATGTTCTCTGTATCTATGAGAATGTTTCTGTTCTCCTTGTTCATTTTGTTTGTAGATTCCATTGTTGATAGATATATATGCATTGCCATTTTGTTTGTTCATATATTTTATCTTTTTCTTCAAAAAGAACCTTCATCATTTCATATAATAACGGTTTGGTGGTGATGAACTCCTTTAGCTTTTTCTTGTCTGGGAAACTCTTTATATGGCCATCGATTCTAAATGACAGCTTTGCAGGATAGAGTAATCTTGGTTGTAGGTTCTTGCTTTTCATTACTCTGAATATTTCTTGCCACTCCCTTCTGGCCTGCAAAGTTTCTTTTGAGAAATCAGCTGACAGCCTTATGGGAACTCCCTTGTAGGTAACTAGCTGCCTTTCTCTTGCTGCTTTTAAGATTCTCTCTTTGTCTTGAACCTTTTGCATTTTGACAATGATGTGTCTTGGTGTGGGCCTCTTGGGGTTCTTCTTGTTTGGGACTCTCTGAGCTTCCTGGACTTGTCTGTCTATTTCCTTCACGAAGTTAGGAAAGTTTTCTGCCATTATTGTTTCAAACAGGTTTTCGATTTTTGTTCTCTCCTTCTTCCGGCACCCCCAAGATGCGAATGTTGGCACGCTTGAAGTTGTCCCAGAGGCTCCTTACACTATCCTCCTTTTTTTGGATTCTTTTTTCTTTTGCTGTTTTGATTGGGCATTTTTTGCTTCCTTATATTCCAAATCGATGGTTTGCTTCTTGGATTTACGGACTCTACTATTGAAACTGTGTAAATTATTCTTTATTTCAGTTAATGCCTCCTTCAATTCTGACTGTGCATCCATAATTTCTGACTGGTCCTTTTTTTATGCTCTTGAGGCCCTCACTAAGTTCACTGAGGTTCTCACTAAGTTCATTGAGCATCCTTATAAGCAGTATTTTGAACTCAGCATCTGTTAGGTTGCTATCTCCATTTTGCTTAGTTCTTTTCTTGGGGTTTTGTTCTGTTCTTTCATTTGGGACCTGTTTCTTTGTCTCCTCATTTTGGCTGCCTCCCTGTGTTTGTTTCAGTGTATTACTTAATGAGAGGTATGGGGCTCGCTGAGACCAGATGCTGCTCGTTTGAAAGAATTTAGGAAAAACCTGAAGCAGGATCCAAGACAGGCCAATCCTATGGTTAAGCAAGTGGCAACAGCTTGGGTGGGCCTGAAAGTTGGGTGGGGCGGGGCCTTAGGGAATCACCAGGGCGGGGCTACCAGTGTGAGCCAGGTTGCTGGAGTCCCAGATATGGCTCTGTCTGCTGCCCCAGGGAAGGGCTCACCAAAGGAACAAAGGCCTCTGACAGCACGTTTGTCCCGAAGAAAGCCCCCTCTCCAGCCCTCACTCCAGTGCCAAACAGCTCAGTTCTTCCCTGTATGTCTCTGGTGCCCCTCGAGCTGCCTCCCCTCCAAGCTTAGAGGGAGAGAGTCCGATAAGTCCGTGCGCGGGCCCTTTAAGGAGCTGCCTGGGGCTCCAGCCGCCTCAGCCTCCCTGAGCCTCAGTTCCCGTTGGTTTTTCCAGCCAGAAGTTATGGGGATTCTCTTCCTGGCACTGGAACCCTGAGCGGGCACTTCGTGTGGGACGGGGACCCCTCAGTCCTCAGGAAGGACCTTCCCAGCCGAGGTGTCCTCCTGATTTTTATCCGCCTCACGTGGGTGTGGGACCAGCCTCTCGCGCCTCCGCCCCTCCTGCCAGTCTGGATGTGGCTGCTGCTTTAATCCCGTAGTTGTAGGACTTCCATTCAGCTTGATTTCAGGCGGTTTTGAATGATGGTTGTTCTGTAGTTTAGTTGTAACTTTGTGGTTGTGGGAGGACGCGATACTGCGTTTACCTATGTCGCCATCTTGACCGGAAGTCTCCTTGATGATCTTGCAACGACTTTCAGGTGTGTCTGCTAAGTTCCCAGTACAGTACTTGATTTCTGGTCCCTGGGACTCCTTTGTCACTGTCTAAACACTGAAGGCGGTGTGGGCGTCTTCAGCTTGTGGGCAGGGGGCTGCATGGTGCTCTGAATGGGTCAGGCTGCTCCCACTCGCTTACCTCGCTGATGGGCATGCCTGGATGCAGACACACCTGCTTCCTTAAGACACAGAGAGAGTGAAGGGGTGGAAGTCATTTTGTCATTTGTCTCTCTGAGGATGTAATTGTATTTCTGTATGCTTATGAGAACTGTAATCTGCTGCAGGCACATCAGGAGAACATTCTGGGTAACACCATGCAGAGTGTGATTGCGTTGCTCCACAACCTGGTGGCCTGCAAAGACGCGAACATGAAGCTGCTTTACGAACAAGGTAAGTGCTTCTTAGAATTCGCTTTCTGTTGAGTTTTGCCTCTTTGTAAGTTTCCTCATCTTAACGTAGTAGGGAGTCAAGAAGTACTCTTTAAAGTTGATCAGTCAAAATAGATGTTTAAGGACCCGTAAGTACTTCTACCAGCAAAAAGGGGAAGTGTGGTTTGATTGTGATCGTTCCTCTACGTTAATTTATGTTCTGCTTGGCACAAAGTAAATAGGTGCTGCTTAACGATGGTAATTCAGAAAATGCAAGTGTAAGTATAGTATTTAGACTTTGCTGCCAGTCAAAACCTCTGTGGTCAGAGCACCTTGTAAAATGAGACGGGATGGGTTGAGGGTGACTTTACTTTGCATCTTACACATGTCTGCAATATTACAGTTTAAAACAAATTTTTAAGACTTTATATTTTAAGAGCAATTTTAGGTTTAAAACAAAATCGAGAGGCTGTCCTGGCCATTTTGGCTCAGCAGTTAGAGTGTCGGCCTACGGACCAGAGTCTCAGGTTTGATTCTGGTCAAAGGCATGTACCTCGGTTGCCATTCGGTCCCAGGCCCTGGTCAGGGTCGTGCAGGAGGCAACCAATCGAAGTATCTCTCTCACATCAATGTCTGTCTGTCTGTCTCTCTCTCTCTGCCTTTCCTAGAGGATATCTTGATACTGCCTCAGAATCTGTTTTGTTCGTTTGTTTACTTGGTAAGGAAATACTCATCTCTTTTAATTCTGTCTTTTGAAAGCAAAAATAAATAATTACTTTTGGCTTTTATAGAAATAATCAAATGATTTTTCTTGGATCTATTTATGTAATGGATTATATTTAATAGATTATACTATGTTAAATCATCTTTTGATTTGAGTAAATAACCACACTTAATCATAACATATTATTCTTTAATTGTGCTACTTAAGTTCTTTGCTAAATCTTTTTTCCAGGATTCTCCATTGTCATTCATAAGTGTGATTGGCTTGTCGTCTTGTTCCTTGTTTGTTTTTGATAGAACATGTTCTTTGCTAGGTTTGTTGTTAACACCAAATTGCTTCTTTACAATAAAAAGGACTTTTTCCCTCTTTCTGTGGTTCTGGAACAATTGAAGCATCACCGAAATTATCTATTCCTTAAAAGTTAGAAGAGTGTTTTCTGGCTGGTGCTGTTTCTTGGCGGCGTATTAGTAGTGTTAACTCTCCAACACCTTTTTCTATTTCTACAAAGATAATAACTATTTTTTTATGTTTCCATCTCTTATAATAGAGTTAGTTTTAGGAAATTGAATTTTCCTAGAAAGTTTTTGTTTCATACATACGTTCAAATCTGTTGCCATAGAGTTGGACAAAATAGGTTTTCATAATTGTTTTATAACCTTGGTGTCAGAGATTTTTCTCCCTTTACCATTTCTTATGTATTTGTGTTTTTAGTGAGTAGTTAAGATAATGGTAGTTTAATTTTATTAGGTCAGTTTGGAATTTACTTAATCCTGCATTTAAAAAAAGTAAATTTCTGCTTTTGTCTCTTAATTCATTACTTCTGCGTTTGTTGAGTTTGTTTTATCATTCTTTTTCTAAGGCTATGAGTAAATATGTTTATTTATCTTCACTCTTTATTTTAAATCAAGAGATGTATTTAATCAAGAGAAATATTTAAAGCTATGGCTTTCCTTTGGGTGTTGCCTGATCTGTGTGTGACTCGGGATTCTGATTCCATGCCTCCATCATTTTTGATTTCCACATACATTTCTATGTAGATTTATGTTCCTTCATTAAGCCAAGAATTGTTTAGGAGTGCAGGTATATTTTGCTGTATTAATTTTGTTATTTCTAGTTTTATTGCACTATGGTCAGCTGATGTTGGCAGTACTATTTTTACCTTTTAGAATTTATTGTAATATATGGTTGGTTTTCATGATTTATTATGTACACTTGAAAAGGTGCATATTGACTTTCTCCATGACAGTGACTGACACTGATGCCCTCCCACCATAAAAAACAATATAAAACTCAACAAAATACACGAAGGAGTTGTTGTTAGTCTTTGGAAAATAGGTAGAATTAGGGCTGTGATCCTTGTGAGGAGGGAAATACATGAGTGAACCTCATGTTTCTCAGGCTCCCTCCCCCCTTTGGAGAAGGAAGCAGAGCTCAAACAGAACACAGAGGTCTTGCTGAGCAGGGAGGAAGAGTTCATTGTTCAGAGATGTGAACTGGTGAGTGTTCAGAGGGCAGCGTGTAAAGGAAGAGTTGCAAAGAGGGACAGGGACCAGAAGTCTACATGCAGGTTTCCCACAGGCCTTAGGGGAGGGCCGGGCTGTGCTTGCACAGAGCAAGATTCTGTTAGGCCCAGCAGAGGACGGAGCAGGTGCAATAAGGCTGAGAGTTGAACTGAGAGCAGAAATCATGGAGTGATGACGGATGTAGGAATTCTAGCCTCGCCACGGGAGCACTACTCTAGATCTGCCTTGGAGTTTAGACCATGTCCTAGGACTAAGAGTTAAACCACTACAGGCCTGTTCCAGCAAAGAATGAAACTAAATCCTTTATGGTCAAAAATTCATAAGGAACGTCACTGCCGGCTGCAACAGAAGTCAGTACCACTTATAAGATAACAATGTAATCCAGACTCTGTACAAAATGTTACACACAATGACCAGTGTACAACCAAAACTTACTAGACATGAAAAAGAAACTGGATAATGTGACCCATAATAATAACAAAATGTCGATTCAAACAAAACTCAAGATTATCCAGGTGTTGGAATTAACAGCCTGGGCTTTTTAAACCATTATTATAAACATATCAAACACCAACAAAAAAAGATGGAAATAGGAATGTGAAGAGGAGAGAATTTCATCAGAGAAATGGTATCTACAAAAAAAGAACTAAATAGAAGTTGAGAACTGAAATGTATAATATCTAAATTATTGTTTCTTTTCCATAAAAATGGCTCATATTTATAGCTGAGTAGGTGTCTCAGCCTGATTCCTGTCCAAAGAAATTTGCAGCCCTAAGACTTTCTCATTCTGAAAAACAATTGTCCCTACCTTTTTAATCCAGGCTGGTGGCGCTTCTGATATTAGTTTGAGCAAAAACATTGTTAGTTTTCTGTAAATATTATTGATCATTCCATTAAACAAAACAAACAAAAAACACACTTGAATTCCCTTCAAAAAATTCTCTCTGTCATGGGCTGAGAATCAGGATACTGTGGAGATAATGCCTGTAAGATTTTTTTTTTTTTTTTATTCTCACCCGAGGACATTTTTGCATTTATCTTCAGATAGAGAAGGGGGAAGAGAGAAACATCAATGTGAGAGAGACACATCAAGTGGTTGCCCACCCACACAACCCCAACCAGGTGGGGACAAACTGCAACCGAGGTACATGTCCTTAGCAGGAACTGAACCCGGGACTCTCTGGTCCGTGGGCCAACAATTTAACCGCTGAACCAACTGGCCAGGGTGCCTGTAAGATTCTTAATAGCTCTATTTGCCAGCTGAGACAGTGGATGAGGAGTCAGATGCCTGGAATCGAGATTACAGAGGTTGCTACTGCTGGCCCATGAAGCGTGGGATTGCATGGCTGAGGCGGGACGCAGGACAGAGTCCTAGAAGACAGGAGTGTAGGGAATTGAGAGGTCAGGCATGGAAGGATTGTCTGCAAGGTGATGGAGGTGGCTGCTGAGGTTTGTGTTCAGTGGACTGTTAGAGTCGGGGCACCAAGGCACAGGTGGATTTGCCACGAAGCTCATCAAGCCTAAGTGCCAGGGCCCTCCTTATACAGGGCAGTTTTACACTCACACTTTGATTTTTCTTTTTCCTAATAGTCTGTTCCCTCCCCAGCTGTATAAGCTTAAGTTCTCATAATACCTAGCCCCATTCCAGGTTTAGTGGGATGAAGAAGTCACAAAAAAATAATTATGGCAAGAGTAGCGTTAGGGAAGCATTGAACTTGGGGAAGAGGCTGGAGTGATTTAGTGGTCTGAGGACGATGGCAGTTGAGGGAGAAGAAGCAGGTGGCACAGACTGTTGAGCTGAGATTCGGTCTGTCATCTGGCTGCTGGCTTTTACAAGTGAGTTTTTGTTGGGATGCAGACTTGCCCATCCATCTGCATGTTCACCCGTGGCTGGTGTTTGTTGTGTCGTGGCAGTGTTGAGTAGATGACACAAAAACTGCAAAGCCACATGACTTAGAATATTTGCTACATGGCTTTTCAAGTAAAGGCATGCCAAGCCCTGGTCTAGACGCAGCCACGTGGAACAAGGTGACACCACCGAGGCCCAGGGGTGAAAGCAGAGCGGAGGAGACGGACCCGTCACTTGCAGGGCCTGCCGAGGAGACGAGGCCCTGGAAGAGGCAGGTTTCAGGTGGAGCAGGCAGGGGAAAGGCACACAGCTGAGAGGCTGACGCGGACACTCACCTGGGAACTGTCCTAGCGCCGAGTGTCCGCGGGAGGGCTCAGGCTGGGGGTGGGTGGGATGTGGCTTCTGCCAGGAGATGTGCGAGTCCCCTTGCCGTGTAGACTGCAGGACTGTGGGTGACCTGGGGGTTCTGGGCTTCTTGTGACAGCAGGAGAGAGAAAGGGCTCGATGAGTCCGGTTGGTCTTAAGGCAGAGAGGATGTTGGTCAGGCTGTGAGTAAGGTGCGGTGAGGAGGGGCCGAGGGGCTCCAGGACTACACAGAGGCTGGGCACCCCTTCCTGCCCCCGCGCTGGAGGTTGGAAGGGAGGGAGGGATGGTGGCCCAGGGGGTCAGCAGGACAGTCTGGTTCCAGTCTCCAGAGGCAGACACCAGTCTGACTTGCCGCACACTCTACTGCCCTCCAAACCCCTGGCTACTAGATGTGTGGACGGACCTATTTCCCCAAAGTGGGGGGAAGATCTGATGGGTGCTTGTGGACCCAGAGAGGATGAGGGGTCAGTGGAGCATGGCCCGAGAAGTCACTGACAGCCTGCCACCTGCATGGGCTGGAAGGTAGAGGTTGGTTTGAATGAAGTCCCTTTGTCACTTTG